ATGGCCGCCGGCGCTGCAGCACGCTCGCGCGAGCCCACACTCTCCCGTTTCCTGATTATCGGGGTGCAGAGGAAGCACATTCAATTTGCGAGACAACCCCAAGACCCGAAACGAAGTGGAAATAGCAGCGCTGAAGATCCCCTCCGACCCCCGGACCGGCCGCGGGGCCCACGTGGGGAGAAGGCGGCGCTGGGCGGGTGTCCGCCTCGCGCCGGCCGCCAGGGCCCAGCACTGTCACCCGCCGGTCGCCCAGGGGCGGTTCTGCCTCCTGGCGCCGCCTCCGGCCAGCCACTTGCTCCATGGAAACAGACACAACACAGCCTCCAACTCGCCAGCGGGGGGCGGCCGGCGCTGGCCGAGGCGGCAGTGGGGCAGGGCGGCGCTCAGGGCGCCGGGACAGGCCGTGTCCTCGGAGGACGCTCTGCCTCCAGCCCCAAATCCCCTCAAGCGGGGACACCGGAGGGTCCGGCACGGGGCAGCGGCCCCCCAGGCCCAGCCACGGTGAGCACCAGAGAGCCCGCGCCTGGCCCCCGTGCTCGGCCGCGGCCCCCACTCCGGCCGCCCAGGACAGGCCTCGTGTCCAGCAGCGCCCGCTCCCCTGCGGCGGTCTGGCCAGCTGCGGGGACGCCCACCCTGTCCAGCATCCTGTACTGACCCGCCGCCACCCAGGCTGCTCTGCTCTGGGGCCCTGGCCCAGGACCTGACCTGTGGCCAAAGCCAAAACCGCCCCGTGTCCACCCCTGCCCCCAGGGACCACGGGGGGGGGCTCCTGGGGGACCCCGGGCAGAACAGCTGCCTGGCCGAGGGGAGGCGGCTGAGCCCTGGGGTGCAGCCGGGGCACGCGTGAGGGCCCCCGCTGGGCCCTCAGAGGCCACCTCGATCCTAGCAGGTGCCGAGCCAGTCTGCGCCCAGCCAGAGGCAGGGTGGTCAGGGCAGAGGCCGGCCAGCCGCTGACCGTGGGGTCCGGACACGCTCCGCAGCTTTGGGAGCGTTCGGCCGGCTGCTCTGGCCTCGAGGCAGGAGCCCGCAGTGTCCATCCGGGAGCCTGGAGGCAGGCGCCCCGACACCCAGCACCGAGCACGGCCAGAGCAGACGCCGTGTGAGGCGGCCTCTGCCCAGGGTTCCCCCACCCGTGGGCCGTGGCCCCCGGGAGAGGACTCCCCAGCGGCATGGACACAGGGTGGGGGGACGTGAGGTGCCCAGGCCAGCCTCTCCCAGCTGCACCGTCAGAGTGGCCAGACCCCCAGGCCCGACGCGGCCCGGCCACAAGCCGGCAGTCAGAGGTCAGCGGCTGCCCGGCAAGCCCAGCCCTCTGCTGCTGCCCAGCTCCAGCTCCCTGTGCCGCCAGGCCCCGAGGGGGCGGGGCCCACAGCGCCAGGGTCTCGTCAGGGCCACGCCAAGTGCCACAGCGCTGTCCGGCACGCACCCTCCGGCCCCGTCGGGCCTGCGCCCGCGGCTGGAGAGGCCCGGCCTCCCGCCTCACCCCGGGGCCCGTCCCCCGGCAGGCCGGCGTCTGGGAGGGCGAGGGGCCGTGAGAACGCGGGGCGGCCATAAAGATCAGGGCAGTGACCTTCTGACCCGCCTCTCTAGAGCCCGGGGCGCCAGCGGGGGGCTGGGCCCCAACAGCCAGGCTGAGCCTCCCGCCCCGCCCCCACCAGCCCCTCGGCCACTGGCCTGCACCTGCCCGGCTGCTGCCCAGCACAGAGCGGGAGGGACGGCCAGGCGCCCGCCCAGCCCCCTTCCGGGACACAGTGGACGCGGCCTGACCGGGCGCCCCTGGGGACACGGCGCCCCCAGTCTCCCCGCTGGCCGGCAGACCCGGGCCGTCCCTCAGGTGGGGGAAGAAGGCGCGGGCCTGAGGCCCATGGAGAGCGGCCCCGCCCTCGGAGCTGGACAGCCTGAACTTTTCACCCCGGCCCCGACAAAGGGCCGCAGCGTGTCTGCGGGGGAGGCGGCCCACACGCCCGCCACCCCCCAAAAATGCGGATTGCCCGTTTACGATCGCCAGATGGCGGCCGGGCCTGCGGCCTCGTCGCCCGGTGACCGCCTGACCCCTCGTAAACAGGCCCAGAACCCAGACCCACGGCCACAGCCCCGCCCCCGGGGCCAGTGCAGGTCACCAGGGCGCATCCAGCTCAGGGCAGAGGGGCGGCGAGACCCCGAGGCCCGGGACAGCACCCACAGGCGACCCCACCCTGCTGCGGTGAGAGCCGCAGGGGCGGTGAGGAGCCGGGCAGGCCACTGCCGCGGGGAGCCGGGGCCCAGCGGGCCCCCAAAGTCAACAGAAACGGTCAACTGGAACAGCACGACGGGCCTCGGACACTCAGACCGGGAGCCCCGGCCCGCCGGGCGTCCTCTGAGACCAGGGGACCGAGGGGCGGCGGCCCTGACCGGCACAGCCGGGTTCCGCCCCGCCCGGAGGCCCCGCCCCGCCGGGAGGCCCGCCGGCCCCAGCACCCACGCAGGTGCAGCACAGGGACACAATGAGCAGCGACTCCAGCACGCCGGCCGCCCCCACGATCCAGGGCAGGCGCAGGAAGAGGATCACGCCCAGGATGTTCTGCAGGCAGGGCAGGTAGACGCCGATGAAGGTGCCCATGCGCGGGCTCTGTGGGGAGAGCGGTGCTGGGCCTCGGCCTGGGCTCGGCGCCCACC